TATATATATATATACTGTTTATATTTGATTGGTTCTTATATGCAGGTTTGACTATACTAATTCGCGCGCCTGTCACTTTCAGCCCAACGTCGCTGGTCGCAAGACGTTGTCGCAGCGAGAGGCGAGGGACTGCAAGGTGATAGGTAAGCGCAGGCAGGCAGTGGCCGCCATCTTCCCCTTCCATAAACTCCAGAGCTCCATAGATTCTTGGCACCGCTAAGATCACGACTTGCCTCCCGTGTAGTGTCTCATCAAGTCCTACTATCCGATCGTGCGCATAATCCCTTCCCATAATATAATATACATATATATGTACTACAGACATATATATATATATATACATATATCATCTAGTCCTAATGCTTGTCGAAATTGCGACGTGCGTTGAGAGTTTGTAGCATCCATTGAACATGTTTTGAACGAACCCGAGTTGGTTGTAGCGAATGTTCCAGTTTACGACTGTTCGTTTGTTTGTTCGTTCCTCCCGCAGAGCGCCTCATCAATTCCTACTACTTATCGTGGGCAAGAACCGCGCGAACCCCCCGCGCTGCGGAAAGTTCATTTGCAACCTTTCGTTCGTTCCTCCTGCAGAGCGCCTCATCAAGTCCTACTACCTGATCGTGGGCAAGAATCGCGTGAACCCCCCGCGCTGCGATAAAGTTCATTTGCAACCTTTCGTTCGTTCCTCCCGCAGAGCGCCTCATCAAGTCCTACTACCTGATCGTGCGTAAGAACCGCGAAAAACCCCCGCGCCGCGGAAAGTTCATTTGCAACCTTTTGTTCGTATGCGGCTCTTGTTTCGTTTGTTATCGCTAATGCCATGTCGTTGTCATAATTTATTTGCTTTCTTAATAGCTGTGGCCCCCTTTTCACTCTGACCGGAAACTTGCGGGGGAAAAACCATTTTTGTGGTTGTTTTCGAGTAGCCAAGTGCTTCTTCTAAATGTTAAAAAAAAAAATGAAGCATCTTACATGGTGACCATGTCCGGGTGGGAAGATCTACAGCTAAGCATTAAAAATTATAATTAATCGTAGAAATAATCTTTATCTCTGTTACCTTAAAATGGATAAATGTTGCTGGTGTAATTATTTAATTCATCATAACTCGTTAACCGTCGTCACGCCTGACCCCAGCGACTCGTACGATATATGTGTGAGAAAACGCTTGTAGATTTTAAAACCAATGTTCTATTTTGTGTGAATGGTTTGAACGTTGTCGTTAGCAAGAAACCACACACGACCTCGACTTGGCACTTTCGAAGAGGACTTGCAAGACGGTTAATATTTGGATTTGTAATGGTGTAGAAAATCAACAATCGGTTTTATTGTTGTATGTAACCGTAAGTAACCGTAAACCCGTGCGTCTGTCGTGATGGACGCGGGCAACTCTAGCCAATCATTGATGCGATAGGAGAGTTCTAGAAGATCGTTCTTAGCTACAAAGTGCCGCAAAGTTGACAATTAGAGGTGCACGTGCAGAAACACGTGTGAACCGGGTTGGCTTGGGCCATCCTTGAAAAATTATGTTTGCTGTCCTCCGACCAACCCACGAAAATAGTTTTTTTTTGACATTTTGGGTTCTATATTTTATTTTTTTATTTTTTATTTTTCATAGTTAAAACTGAAACACAAAGCATGTGTGGCAAACATGAGGACAGACTTAAAATAACTATTATGCCTCACAAAAAAATGACCTACCTACTTACCCACTAAAAAAATCATGGGTCGGGGGACAGCAAACATAGAATTTTTCAAGGATGGCCTTGACCGAGCAGCAATACTCAACAACAGAGGGCTGGTCAGCTTGCTCGGACTGATCGGTCAGTTGAATCCTCCGTCTGCTTCTCGTGCGGACGGAGAACCGTAGCGAGTTTATGGCACGTGACTCCGTCGCTCAACCTTTGCCGCTGTCTACTCTCGCTCTCGCGCGACAGGTGGCGCCACAGGAGCTGGCGACGGTCGACACGAGCAGCTGGAAGGTGATGAACATCCTTCGCGGCGGCGGCGACCTCCGGAACCTCGCAATCAACGGCGCGAAGCAGCAGCAGCAGCAGCAGCCTCCCCAGATGCAGACGCCCCAGAAGACCGTCAACCTGCTGCCGGAAATCGTGAGTCGCGTTTCGCTCGCCGCCATCTTGAGAGCGCGGGTCGGGTCGGGTCGCGGTCGCGCGGGTCATGAGCGCGGGGGTCGTGGGTTACACGCAGGGTGGCGCGTTGTTTCAGCTGAAGTTGTGGGTTACACGCTGGGTGCAGACCCGCCAACCCTTACGATTTTTTCGTATTCCTTACTAATTCCAAGATGTTTTTAAGAATGTACGATCAAACTGAAAAACTTTACGACATTTTAAACGACTTATTAACATTTTTTACGACTTGAAAATTAATGTGTTTTTTACATTGTGAGCCGAGAAATATCTGGCGATTGTGGGCGCAGCCATATTGGATCACGCGTTCACATTGTTCTCGCGTGATCTAGAGTTAGTCCCATCATTCATTGTGCGCATAACATACAAACAAAATGGCAGCCTGCTGCAAGAAAAGAAAAGCCTTACTATTTTCATGAATCACAGGTTGGCAGGTCTGACTGGGTGGCGCGTTGTTTCAGCTGAAGTTGTGGGTTTCGCGTGAAGCGTGGCTGTCGTCAACGTGAATTATTTGCGAAAAAAGTTTCCCAGTTGTCCTACTTATATTAAGGCCAAACAAAAAAATACCTGTGTTTCCGATTTCATGCTGAAAAAAAATAGGTAGGGTAGGTAGGCTTTAACTTT